GGAAGTTTATTTAGCAGGGATGGTAGATATGATAAGGATATAGAACGACGAGTGAACGCAGGAAATAGAGTGAATGGGGCTCTACATGCTATTATGAGGAGTCAGAATGTGTCAACTAAGGCACGTATGGCAATTCATAATGCTGTGTTAGTCCCTATTTTAATGTATGGTAGTGAAAGTTGGGTCTGGCAGAAGAAGCATGAGAGTAGAATAAATGCTGTAGAAATGCGTTCCTTAAGGAGTATGCTAGGGCTGAATCTGAATGACAGGGTGAGAAATAGTGTGATAAGAGAAAAGTGTGATTTGCAAGATGACGTTGTGACAAGAATTAAGAAAGGAATGCTTCGGTGGTTTGGTCATGTAGAAAGAATGAACGAGGAAAGAGTGACAAAGCAAATTTATGTTGCAGAAGTGAACGGCAGGGTCGGGAAGGGACGCCCTAGACGAAGGTTTATCGACCAAATCGGCGATACATTAAAAATAGGCCAGATTAGGAGTACCCTTAACCGACGAGCGTGTATGCGTAGATATATGGATGTAAAAGAGGCGAGAGAGGTGTGTCAGGATCGCGCCAAATGGAAGTCCGTAGTCTCTGCCTACCCCTCTGGGTGACAGGCGTGAGTGTTTATGTATATGTATATGTATGTAATAAAAACAGAGAACCCATCACCTCATTTCGTCCCATGGGTGTTACGTTATAAGAGATATGTCAAAAAATCTCATGAGTTCTGTTTAGTCGGCGGTATGACCATCTCGTTTACGCTAGGCATAAAATCCAAATCGACGATGGACAAGCTGCCTCAAAGGTGTTCACGTCTAGAACTATGATTGTCAAGCTGCCTGCCAAGCATGACAGGCTCAAGTCCAGCAGTAAACTTTAATAGGCCAATAAAGAAGAAAAAAGTCACAAATAGCTTGCTGTGCTCTGATAATACAAGTGTTTATTAATGGATTAATTAGCTTTTTGTTTTTCAGAAAAAGGCATTCTTCCAAGAGAATATGCAGAAACTGCCGAAATTCTCCTCTTTTTTGACAAGGTATTCGATTCTGTTAATGGCAGCTACAATAAAGAAAAAACTATATGTAAAGCCTCTTCTTGGACCAGCAAGGCCAAACTCAGTTGTGGAATGAAGCAAAAGCTATATTAAATAACATGAAATTTATAAATAAAATGTTAAACAATCATGTGTGTATCAACAATAAAAAAATGGGTATGGACACTAATTGGTGTAAAAATTCTTTTAAAAATTGGAAACTTCTTTTAAAAGTATGGTATTACTTCTGTTTGGATGCACACCTCAACCAAGACCCTATTGAAAACTTTTTTGGAACCATTAGAATCTATAGGTGCTGCAATGTTAATCCAACACCAGAACATTTTCAGAGTGCCTACACTACACTTTTAATTAACAATATGTCCAGTGTCCATGCCTCGGGAGCTAATTGTGAAAAAGATAATTGTAAGGCTTTAGAATCTGTTATCATCACATATAACTACAAAGCTGCTGCAACCTGTGACCTTGAAACAATCCCGGATGTAGATATAATTGATATTAAAGAGAACACTGCTCCATATATAAAGGTGGCATTAGATTATGTTAGTGGATACTTTGCTAGATGTGCTAAAAAAATGTTTTTAAAATTGTAGTGAATATACTGCTAAAATAATCGCCTTACAAGAAATTGAAATCATTAACTTTTGGTGCCATCGATATGAAACGATTCGAGTAGTTTTACTATTTATCGGTAGATGTAGATAGTGTAAAGTGGGCGGGGCTTTGCATCCCCTCACCCCGCAAATTGTCACGCGTTGTTACATAGTGAAATTTAATTAGAACGTCTCCTCTTTGTGTTTGCTTCATGTTGGAATAGTTTCATGGACTGAAATGAAACTTCACAAACAGATATAGAACGATGCCAGGAGTGACGTAGGCTACAGTTTATCTGCAAAGCTTGATCATTTTATTGTGAAATCTTAAATCTCGATGATGAAATAAATGGCAACACCGAAGCGAAGCCGGGGCGTGCCACTAGCATTCAATAAAAGATGTGCGTTTGTTCGCTATTTTTATTTATTTATTATTTATTGAATCCCTAAAACAAAAGAATACAAAGGGCGGACTTAATGCTCCATCCTCCGTAACTGCTTTAGTCGACTACGATCGGGAGAGAAGACTAGTTCTTTGTTTTGTAAACTGCGATCGTTGTTTTCGACAATCTAACACTGATTTTGTTTAATGTGACTAAGAATACGCTGTCATTATTTATGTGCGCAGTTTGTCAACGTGATTTGAAGTTTATTTCATATAAGTGTGTAACGTATTTGCCTAAAAGCGGTAACTGTCGTAAAGGAAAATATAACCGCGTGGCATATTTACCGTGCCGGCTACCCCCGTCCGCGCCCGCGTGATCCACAGCTGTCACACGGTTTTTATTCTGAATTGCCGCTCGAGTAGTACACAAGTCTTTGACTTATATAGCATTTAACAAAAAGTTAAAACAAATCGTGAAGATACATTTCACTTTACAACAACACCTAACTAAACAAAGCCTCTGTCAGAAAACTGCCTTACAGTACTTAAACTGCAAAGTTTTTTAGAACAAGTCAAGTTAAAACTAATAAAAATAATGTCCACATGTTAAAATAAATAACAAAATCATTTCCTTCATTAGTGTAAGATAATCTATAAGATCAAAGTAAACCTAAGATTTAAAAAAAAAAACAAAAGTAGTGATGTAAATTTCTTTCACTTCAATTTATAGTTAGCTGCCACGGCAGGATTTTCATGTTTCCGTTTCACTCCGAATTCAGTCTGGACATTTTACAGTGTAAATATGAAATGAATTTGTAACTCGACTACAAAAGCCATCTTGTACGGAATAATAGACCGAGTAAAAAAACCTTTACGTGCCTTATGTGCTAATTGAAACTGCATTTATTCTGAAGAAGCTGATTCAAAAACCAAAAAAATAAACTTTCAAATATGAAACAAATGGGAGGTTAGTGGAAATAGACCAGACCATGTTTTTTTTTAATTTAATTGATTGCTAATGTTTTTTCTTTTTTCGTTTCGACGTTTATTGTGTTCTTGTTAGAGAGCCTATTAAAGTCAACTGCTGATGCTGAACATAGGCCTCATTCATAGATTGCCTCATAGGGGGGGATATTTGCCATAGTTGCCACGCTTGGCAAGCGGGCTGGCAACAGTTTTTTTTTCTTATGAATACGGTGCTGCACGTCTTCTGATTTGTTTCTTTCTGTCGCCTCTAAGACACACACGGGATGTTAAGGGGTAGTGGATATTCTTATATCTATATCTATATATTATATCTAGGCGACGGAGGAAATAGACCAGTAGATGGGCAGCAGCGTCTTCCTAATAACAAATAAAAATAAAAAACCGCGGTTGCCAACCCAACATGCATGGCAACTATGGCAAATATCCCCCCTATGAGTCAATCCGTGGGGGAGGCCTATGTTCAGCAGCGGACTTTTATAGGCTGTAACGGTAACGATAAATGTCGAAACGATTAAATAAAAACAAACTAGTATGATTTAAATAAAATTAAAGAAAAAAACATGAAGGTCTGCAATGCTATTCTGTAAGAACATTTTTCTATCTCGAAAGCTGAATCCGCGGTGAAATATCAAATTCGTATTCTGTAAAATTCGAATGTGCCGGTGGCGCCTCTTAATCGAGCGCGGATTCGAGACGAACTGTCGTGAATCAGAATGTTGACAATTGAAGTATGTATTTAGTATTCTCTAGGGAAATTCGAGTCTCGATTGTCGAGTTTCGTCACAGGCGAAGCGCGAATTCACCTGTCATTTTAAAAGTTGTGCGGGAGCTATCGAGTTGTGTTCGAAGTAGCACTTAGAATAATTTTAACAGTGTAATTTAATGGTTTTATATACATTTTAAATATAAATAATAGTATGGCTCATTCCTTCATATTATATAGTTTATTGCAAGAAGCATATTCTTTAGATTTATATGAAAGTCGTCGTCAAGCTAGCAACTTTCGTGAATTTAGAGTATTTAATAAAAACAAAGACTTTATAGAAAATTATCGTTTGTCGGAAGAACTCATATAACTTGTTAGAAGATATCAAACATCTTTTGAAAACTCCGCAACGTCGACGACGAGGATTGTCAGTAAAATTAAAGGTAAGTCTTTTTTAAATACCCATTAGTATTTTACAATATAAGTCCAACTCCTTTAAACATAACTGTGTATAAGTGGCTGCCATGAAACTAAAAAGTACTTACTTCGCATAACTTAGATAAGCGGCTGCAGTTATTACGTCACTGGAGTCAAGTGGTCTCCAACAAACCAATCTAAATGAGAGTCCATATAGTATTAGCTTACAAAAAACAACAGATGTTTCATGTAACTTATTTTTCAGGTATTATGTGCACTGTCGTTCCTTGCTAGTGATAGTTACCAAAGAGTATGCGGCAAAAATATCAACACTTATGTGTCGCAGCCTTCAGTGTCCCGCTGTGTTCATGAGGTTGTAGAAGCCCTCAACTATCCGAGTGTTGTTAAGAAATATATTCAATTCCCGCAAAACTTTGAAGAAAGGCTCCAACTAAAGAAAAAGTAGGTACCTACGAAAACAAGAAGAGTCTTTGCATTCAAATAGCGCCTAGACGGCACATTTAAATGACATTTTATTTTAACATAATAATATATTAATAAATATAATTTTTAAATTTCAATGTTATTTTTGATGCCACGTTTGGCGCAGTGGTTGAAGCACCCGAATGCAGCGCCGCGAGTCATGGGTTCGATTCCCGCATGTAGCAAACATTTGTGTGTCTACAGGTAGTTGCTCTGGGTCTGGATGTTAGAGCATGTAATATTCTATGTTTTTAAATGCACCCATGACCCAGGAAATATATCCAGTGTAGAGTAACGTTTAAAAAAATTACAGATTCTTCATAAAATATAATATTCCTGGAGTAATAGGATGTGTTGATAGGACCTACATTACAATGATGAGACCATCACAGAATGAAGAGCGTTATTACTGTCGAAAAGGAAACCATGCGAGAAATGTGCAGTTAGTAAGTATAAATACGGAGTTTGTGAAAGTAAAATATATATATATAAATATAAGAATTTAAGTGTTTTTAATATCACAATATTTTTCGTTTCATAGATCCCTGACGCTGACTTAAACATATTACACGTTGACGCAACTTATGGAGGCGCTACACACGACAGTTTTATTTTTAATAATTGTGTGATTCAACCTAAACTTGAAAGTTTAGTTGAAGCTGGTGAAACAGTATATTTGCTAGGTAAGTTAAAAGAATCAGTCATATATAACTTTAACAACATTGCCATAGTTCATCTACACTCACCCTACGTAAAGATCACATCTATTAACTGGAGAGCAAAGTATTGAATTCATTAAAAATATAACAAACAAAACTTTATATTGCAGGTGATTCCGGATATGCCCAACGCACATATTTGATGGTACCGATATCTAACGCTGTTGAAGGATCACCAGAAGAGCACTATAACAAATTACATGCCACAGCACGTAATACTGTGGAGAGAGCGATTGGCAGGCTAAAGGGAAGATTTCGGTGTTTATTGGTGCACAGAGTGCTCCACTATGATCCTGAAATGGTTGCAAAAATTGTGATAGCTTGTTGTGTGCTACATAATATTTGCAATCGTGCAGGGCTTCCTGCTCCAGCTATAGGCGAGTATGATCTACAAGAAGAAATTCGTTTCCACACTGCAATGCGTGCACGAGGCTCTAGTGTTGAAGGTATGTCCACAGAAGGTATTTTGGGGCAATAGAGCCGACGAGACTTAGTAAATAGACTATGGCGTGCAAGGAACATAATGCATTAAAAGACATTTTACAAAATATTTTTTTATTTTTTTAATATCTCTGCCAACAACTTCAACCCATCCCCAATGACTTGCATTGCTTGAGCTGTAGATCTGTCCCTTTCTATTTGATTATCCAGATAAGATTGCAATATTGCAAGGCTCTGCTGTTGTATTTCAGTCCGCTGTTCTTCCACTCGTAGGAACCGCTCGGCTAGACCCGTCAAATGAGACTGTCGCTGTGATGGTGGTGACAGTGGTCTGCGACGTCTGCCACGACAACTTGAAGTTGCTATAAAGAGACCAAAATCAAATTCAAATCTTATACATACTAATAATCCATAATAATATTATAAGTCTGTCTTTTGTATATATTATATGTGTCTAATTACACTAATACACAATTATATTATATAAACAAACATGACACAAACATACAGAAATTATTACTTATTTTTTATATTAAAATATTGAATATACACATGAGAATTTAATTAAAAATATTTCTTGTACTAAAGAGTATAATCATTTAAAAAAAACTAGCACATTGCCCGAGGCTTCACCCCCGTAAAACCACATTAATCTATCACACCGTTTCCACATGAGAGACACATTTATGTTTGTAATAATAGTCCAAAAATATAATTACTGGCATTGGGGTGAGAATGGATTGGCGTTATGGATCGAGCCAGCTGCTGATTATACCTCGCTGTGGGTGTCTGCCTGATCCAGAAGGTGTTGTAGGCATCGGACATACTGGTGAACCAACTCTTGGAGGAGTGCTGGGCACAGTCTGTGCTCTTGGCATGGGGCTTTGAGTCACCTGAAACCAAGATTTTTATAGTAATATGCAAGAACACAAGGATTATAAAATAAACCTTTAAATCAGTTACATACTATGCGCACAACACTTGGCCTTGTAGACAAATGCGATGTCCCAGGAACACATTCAAGTCTGGGTTGCTGTGGTGTCTGAAAATAGTAAGATATTGCTGAAAAAATACACATTATATAACTGTCTCAAATCTATTTCACATAAACACAAAATAGCTTTTTGAATTAAAACCTATATTTTTAAATATATTTTTTTGTAATTACATTTATTAACTATAAATATATCATACCTCTATTGTAGGAATATTGATAACATCTTCTGCCAATACTATATTTGTTATAGAATCTTGTTCCTGAACAACACATTGAAACAAGCACAAATAAGTATAAATATTATAAGTATGTATTATCATCATCTCTTGAGATAATACATAATTACCAAGAAAAAATTATTATAATATAATTATATAATTATATATATATATATATTGTAATATATCAAAACTGACATTTAAAAAGGACATTATTTAATAATGTAAATAACAAACAACATAAAATAATTATCCACTTACCATTGTGTTTGGTGGGGTTGCATCCAAACCCACAAATAATTGGTTGGTCAGCAATGATGGACTGCTATTATCAGTGGGGGGATCTAAGCTAGCATGTGTATCCTTAAAAAGAATACAATTTTATAATTTAGACAATTGTACTTCGAACTTATAAATAAACTGGCATAAACATGTTAAAACTTACTTCAAAAGGGTTAATTTCTAAGTGCCTGTCACCTATGGCAAAACTTTCACCACCCAGTAAGGTCAAAATCCTTTCCTCTACGCCTGACAATTCCACAACCTCTGCTCCACCACCAGTCTTATTTTTTGTACGAAACCGTAAAGCCCCCTTTTTCTTTACAGCACTTTTTTTATCGGCCCAATACTGAAACCAATTTAAGCTTTTTTAAGCATACTACAATGTATAATTAATAGACGATTTTCATTTAAGATAAACAAACCTTCATCCATTGCTTCGAAGTTTTAACACAGCCTCCCAAGCTATTTAATTTTAGGGCGATTTTCTCCCACATTTTCCGTGTGGCATCTCTTGCACTAGGTACTCTTGAAAATCCTTTTGCCAAACTTGGATTTTTTTTGTAAAAGGTCCAAAAGAGTTAAAATTTGATCCCGAGATGGAAGTGACGCTCTTTCTGTCGGGCTACAATAGAAATGTTTATTACGGTTAAACAAAGTTCTATTAAACATGAATTGAAGAATTTAAACTGTTGAATAACTTACTTCATGTTTATTTTTAAAATGAACAGTATAATTTATAAAATTGTCGCAAAATATTTTTACTTCGCACTTCCCTATATAACATTGTATTCTTTGCTTCGCACTGTCACTCAGCCAGCGTAGCGCTTGTAAACAAACTTTGTTTATGTCATAAAGTTCTCAAGTAACTGCGGCAAAGACACTGCACTATAGAGCCAAGTTATTAAAAGTGCCGTTATTTTGGGCATTAAAATATAATAACATATAAAGAATGTACTTATATTGAATATCAGTTAATTAAATATAAAATTACATAAGAAAATTTTCGTTTATTACTAAAAAAAGGGATAGACAACTAATATCGACTGAATATTGTTAATGAGTCCATCCCTAGCTAAGCGGTCTTCGATTCGAACCTCACTTCACTTCGCATGTGCGTAGCACATGCTTACAGAATACCAAATCAAGGTCAAGCGCGTTCGCTTTCGAAGTGAGCTACATCGTCTGAGTGAATCTCGAAATCGAATTTGTATTTTAGAGAATAGCACTGCTGGTCTGTTTCCACTAACCACTCGGTACATATTTCAAGGTTCGATTTCACTTGGTTGTTTCATTGGTTTTTGAATTAGCTTCTTCAGAATAAATGCAGTTTCCAATAGCACATATGACACGGAAAGGTTTTTCTACTCGTTCTACAGCTACATAAGGAACTCATGACAAATGGACTTTTATCTAGTATACTTTTATATTTATATAAAACACGTTTACATGATATTGCACATATTTTACCAGATCTCTCACAAAAAAGGTTCTGCTCAAGTGTGTGTTTTCATATGCCTTTGCAAATGACTTTTACGAATAAATTGATATCTACAGATATTACATGAAAAAGGTTTTTCTCCAGTATGTATTTTCATATGTGTTTGCAAATTACTTTTTCGAATGCATTGATATTTACAGATATGACACGAAAAAGGTTTTTCTCCAGTATGTATTTTCATATGCCTTTGCAAATTACTTTTTTGAATACATTTATATTCACAGATATTACATGAAAAAGGTTTTTCTCCAGTATGTATTTTCATATGCTTTTGCAAATGACTTTTTTGAATACATTCATATTTACAGATATGACACGAAAAAGGTTTTTCTCCAGTATGTATTTTCATATGTGTTTGCAAACTACTTTTTCGAATACATTCATATTCACAGATATTACATGAAAAAGGTTTTTCTCCAGTATGTATTTTCATATGCTTTTGCAAATTATTTTTTTGAATACATTCATATTTACAGATATGACACGAAAAAGGTTTTTCTCCAGTATGTATTTTCACATGCCTTTGCAAATCACTTTTTTTAATACATTTATATTCACAGATATTACATGAAAAAGGTTTTTCTCCAGTATGTATTTTCATATGCTTTTGCAAATAACTTTTTTCTATACATTTATATTCACAGATATTACATGAAAAAGGTTTTTCTCCAGTATGTATTTTCATATGTCTCTGCAAATGATCTTTTCTAATACATTTATAATCACAATCATTACAACAGTACACTTGTTCAGCGACGTGCGCTTTAAGATGTGCCAAAATGCGACCTTTTTGAGATGTTTTAAATTCGCAAATATCACAATTAAATATTTCCGTTAGTTGTGGTACTGGAGTTTGTTCAACTTGTGTCAGAACTGCAGTGGTGACTGAGTTCTTTTGCGTCTTATGACTGTATGAAATGTGTTTGGCGAGAATGTCTTTTGTTGAAAATTTTTTGCTACAACCATCACATTCAAAAATGTATTTTGTTGATGCCCCTGACGTTTTTTTCGTAAGTATATTTACACTTTTTTGTTTCAATATTTTCTTTCTCATAATATTTGCAGGATGCTTTCCTTTTTTATTAATTGGTTGATTATCTTTTTTCACTTTAGGCTTTAATTTAATAGTAGGGCTTTCTAAATCGAGGTTTCCTTTACGAACATCGTTTATGTTACAATCAGTAGAATTTGATTTAATGTTGCTCTCAGACGCTTTTGAAAAATGATTTGTCGGTGTGATGTATGGTTCTGAAATACACACAATTTGAACATTTAATTTATTATAAGTAAAACTTTTTATTGTAAGACACCTTAAACGCATTCTCTATCAGTCAACCAGGGAGAAATAGATAAATTATAAAATTACATAATTATACAATGTTGCTAGATATAAAGTATTTTACTTTTAATAATGTCTCTCATATTCATTTTTGGAGGGAAAGAATGGTAGAGAAACTAAATTGGAATGATAATTGTTCGCGTCAAACGCTGGTTTCGGAATCGACGTTAGAGGGCGCGCGGCTCGGTGCCATACTGGTTTTGACGCGGTCGAGCGGTGGGGTTGAGAACGCGTAAAGGCGAAAGAGTCGTCTGTCAGCGGTGCTAACGTCAGCACACTGTCAATTTTGTTCGGGAACCGCGGAATAGTTTAGACGTCTAGTAAACATCCTGTCTAGGATTTATAACGCGAATTTCTTGTTGGATAGCCTTTCCCGGGACTTATTGGGTCCGACTCAGAATCTGTATAAGTGCAATCGACAATATTAGCTAGTGCGGCCTTTGATATTCTAGAAATAACTGTTGCTACGCGAAACGGTAGTGACAGTAGTATAGAACGCTCCCCCATATAGTTTAGTGTAATTAGAGATTTTCCACTTTGGCCAGGAGGAGGCCCGACCTACGTCTGCTCGTCGAAACTCAGCTGAATGGGCCCCTGAGGATTTGACCTTTAAGGGAGCAGCCATAGGCCGTAACATCTGGTAGCAGAGCGCGGTTCTGGGTTCGATTCCCCGGTCGATCCCGACCAGTGTTTGATAAAAATTAAACAATTTTGGTGGCAGGGAGCGTTGGTTTGATTGGTTTAATTTGTATCTACAATCACGCCCGTCCGTAATACGTAAAAATATTTTTTTGTACGTAATAATAAAATTATTTTCCTTTGTTGCTTGCCTTTTTATTGGTTAGTGGGTTGTTTGAATAGCCGCGCCCTAGGTTGCGCAAGCGGGAGTTTTTCTAGAGATATACGTCATGTAGGTAGATGGTTATTTTTACGTAATCGGTTAATTATCGTTGTTGGATAGTTGTAGTGGATTACTTATCGAAGGGTCGATTTCCGAGCTAGGCATTTTTTGTTGATCGACCGTGATGTGTATCTTCGTTTATACTGTAAGTTGTGTTTGAGCTAAAGAGTAGTAATTGTATTTGCGCAATTTGAATTTAACTTGATTTGATCGCACTAGTATTTGTTATTTGTTAATTTGATTTGTGTCTTTTCTTTTGTGCTAACTTGTATTTGGTTGATACATAGTAATTCGTATTTGTGTAATTTCTATTCAACGCGATTTGATAGGAACTGCATTTATTAACTGTTAATTTTTGTTGTATTTTTTATTTGTTATCTTTGTAATTTGTGCTCGAGCCGCGTCGTAATTTGTATTTAGTAGTGATGTCATCGCCCAAGCTACTAATCCGTTGCCTGCGGACTGAGTTGCGCTGGGCCACAAGCGCCCATGCTTTGATAGGTCGACCGGATAGGGTCCATAACTTGATGAAGCGGTTCGAGCAGGTGGATGCTCGAAGGGCCGCAGTGGAGGAGGCTTACGTTGAGCTCGATGATTCGGATGTGGAGAAGGGAGTCCTGGACTCCTGCTTCGCGGACTATGAGCAGTTCTTTTCGCTCACGGACGAGTTGATCGAGGCTGAAGGCAGGTATGCCGAGGAGGCGCGTGAAGCTCGGATGAGTGACCTGCCCGAGTCCTCTCGGAAGCAGCTTCAGCCGGAGCTGTTGGGACGACTCCCAACTCTGGACCTGCCAAAGTTCTCCGGGGTCCTTTCCGAATGGCTGACCTTCGTTGGTCTTTTCGATAGCCTAGTGGACGCCCGGAGTGACTTGACCCCGAGCCAAAAGATGGCGTACCTCCTGGCATCACTGGAGGGGGAGGCCCTGGACGTCGTCGGCCACTTGAGATTGTCGGACGACGCCTACCAGACTGTGCTCGGGACCTCCTAGCCAGAAGATACGCCAACATCCGGCGAATTGCGGACGAACATGTTAAGCAGCTTCTAAGCCTCTCGCTGCTTAGTGACCGGGCCAGACTACGTCCGGACCTGTTGGATCCAGTCTTGGTGGCCTGTAATACGTTGAGGCGGCTGGATTTACCAGTGGGCGAAAGGGCCTTTTTGTTGCTCCGCATCGTGCTGTCCCGTCTACCTCTCGACCTTCGACTCCATTTTGAGGAGAGGTACGGCGGGGACGAGGCCTCCTATATTCCGCCCTTCTATGACCTGCTGCGGTTTTTGGAGGAGCAGTGCCGGCAGATCGAGAACGCGACGGGCGCCGTTGACGACTTACGAGCCGTGCCCAGTGAGAGGCTGAATCCGCCAGGCAAGTCGTCGTCAACTGCCTGCTCCTATTGTCGAGCATCTGATCACCGGGTAACGTCGTGCCCGAAATTATTAGGTAAGCCGGTTCCGGCGAGGCGAACTATCGCCAAGGAGCGCCGCTGGGGCTGCTCATGTTTGAAAGGGCACCTCCAGCGAGTCTGTCCGCATCTGCGGCCCTGTCTGCATTGCCAGGGCAATCGCCATGCAGTTTTGTGCCTGGCTGCGAACGGCGTCTCCTCTCGGGGCTCTGCCAGGCCCTCGACCCAAAAGGGCGGGGGCGCTCAGCCACGCCCTCTGCCGGGCGACTCTCGGCGTCCGCCGGCCAGCCACCGGGCCCCTAGGTTTGGAAGGGGTCCCTCCCCCGACCAGTCGGGGGTAATTCCCCCAGGGGCGGGGGTGTCATCACCCCCCCTCAGCGTGTGGAGAGGAACTTCACGGCCACTCATCGGTCCGCTGGACCCTTCTCACTCCCGTTAGCTGAGTGGCCGCGACTGGTGTACCACTGTTCCCCATTTGATGGAGGCGGCCCTGGTAGCTGCCGCCTTAGCTCCCACCACGGCTGCCTCCACTGAGCCGTAAGCCGTCAACAGTCCACTTGTAAAAATGTTCTGTTGCCGACGGCCTCAGTGAAGGCGTACAACCCGAGTGGCGACTGTTAGCGGTTCGCGCTCTATTGGTCTCGGGTTCACGCCATGTGGCCTCCACTTGGTGGTGGGAAGATTAGGGCCCCCCTGGAGCGTTGAATCACGCTGTCAAGGGGTATTAGATTTGGTTTGGTCGAGCATTTAGTTAAAAATTCTTTGAATTAAAATTAAAAAATGCTTTGGGCTTTCCGCGAAAATTTCATATTTGTAGCGGTTGTGACTAAAAGAATTGAATTTAATCTACTCCTGCTCGGGTTCACGCCATGTAGCCTCCACTTGGTGGTGGGAAGATTAGGGCCCCCCTGGAGCGTTGAATCACGCTGTCAAGGGGTATTAGATTTGGTTTGGTCGAGCACTTAGTTAAAAATTCTTTGAATTAAAATTAAAAAAATGCTTTGGGCTTTCCGCGAAAATTTCCTATTTGTAGCGGTTGTGATTAAAAGAATTGAATTTAATCTACTCCTGTAAATGCTGCTGCATATGTTTTGTAAATGTATTTAATCACTGCATTTGATTGTTGCGCCTGGTTGCTGAAAAGAAAATTTGAATTCATTTGAAATTGAATGTCGCGCTATTTGGAAAATTATGTATATGTTTTGTGATAGTGTTTAATCATTTTGCTTTGTGAAAAGGAAGGCTGAAATTAGATAACCCTATTTGTGCTGAAGTAAATAAAAGTCAATTCTCCTTTGGTTTACATTTTGTTGGCACTGTCTAAGTTACGTAAATGAGAAATAGGGCTATCTCTTGCGTTTATTGTTTTGATTAATTTGTCAAGTTGACCTATGTGCATCGGTGATTAATTTGGTTGAATTGATTCTGTAGTTGAACATTGATGCTTTGAAAAATTAGTTGAAATATGAGCATAGGACTACTTGCCTAACAGGCTGGCTAGTTGTAGATTATCAGATGGAAATCAGCTGTCACACCATTTGGTAAATGATTATATGGTGGATGGCCTGGCTATGCCTACTTGTTTGAAAATTCATCCTAGGGACTATCTGTGCGTTTCGTTCGGCTCTCCACAGACGACGTTCATGTGGAATTTGTGGGTGCTCTCTGCACTGAAGCTTAGGAGGCCGCTCTGGGCCGCTTCGTGTCGCGTCGCTGTTTGCAGACCTGTTCCGATTGGATTGTGGAACTAATCGTAAGGGCACAGATAGGTGTTTGAAAGAGGTCGTCGGACTTCTGTCCAGAATAGGACTTATTTATGGGCTACGATGTCCAGGAAGGGCATCCAGTTCAACCCTCCGGCTTGCCCACGTCGGGGCTGTATTTTTGAGGCGTTGGTTAGGGCTGCAAGATCTGATGGGGGGCCTAAGGTGGCCTAGTTTGGTTGTAGATTCGGTCTTGCAACTTGCCGTCGCGACCTTGTCCCGCTGACCGGTTTACTCGCGGACCTAAATCCTTATGTCCGGGACGGGGGTTTGTTCGCGCCAAACGCTGGTTTCGGAATCGACGTTAGAGAGCGCGCGGTTCGGTGCCATACTGGTTTTGACGCGGTCGAGCGGTGGGGTTGAGAACGCGTAAAGGCGAAAGAGTCGTCTGTCAGCGGTGCTAACGTAAGCACACTGTCAATTTTGTTCGGGAACCGCGGAATAGTTTACACGTCTAGTAAACATCCTGTCTAGGATTTATAACGCGAATTCCCTGTTGGATAGCCATTTCCGGGACTTATTGGGTCCGACTCAGAATCTGTATAAGTGCATTCGACAATATTAGCTAGTGCGGCCTTTGATATTCTAGAAATAACTGTAGCAACAGTAACAACGCGAAACGGTAGTGACCTTTGATCCGGACACTCCGTGTTAGTTTTGTGCGTTAACCTTATAACAAACGAGAGTTAGTGGCTTCTGTAAGTTAATTAATCGTACGATAGAGTTAATGGACTGTCATCGTGACGAACGAGGTAAGTGACTGTGGACAACGCCGCGGAAGGTTCCCTCAATTTGGAGCGGTGTCGACGCCCGGGCTGCTGCCTACGGCCAAGGTTTACTCGGGTCTATCACCATCAGTCACACCCAGATACACATCACATCACCATATTTCCCTTGCACTACACAACCACATGCGATCTGACCGACTCCGGAGGGACCAGTCGCCTTGGATATAGGTAAGTAAGCTCCGTCTAACATTCTCCCGGTTGAATGGCCGTAGTATAGAACGCTCCCCCATATAGTTTAGTGTTATTAGAGATTTTCCACTTTGGCCTGGAGGAGGCCCGACCTACGTCTGCTCGTCGAAACTCAGCTGAATGGGCCCCTGAGGATTTGACCTTTAAGGGAGCAGCCGTAGGCCGTAACAATAATGATGACGTTGTTCTCACCATGTTACAATTACCTACATTAATCTAATAATAGATGCTTCGAATCGCACACGGGACAAGCATTATACAGAATGATTGGAAGATTGACTTGTTGATTGAAGAAGATCATTTAGGCCATAGTTATTTTAGACAAAGTCTAACTATACTTTTTGTTTTTGGTGATAAAAAAATTATTAGGTGCAGTTCTGAAATTTAGTAGAGTTATAGTTTTTAACTGTAGGAATGTAGGAAAATTATTGTCAGAAATATAGGTCGGGGCTTAAAGACTGTCAGAAGTCGACAAAGTTGTAAAGAAATTGTTTAGATTTAAACCACAAGGTGCAGTTCTGACAAATGCATTTTTATATTATTTGTTGCTTATCGAACCTGTATATAAATTGTCAGAAGTCTTAATAAGGGCTAAGTACATAAAAATTGATGATGAAAGCAACGTTTCGAATCTAGTGTCGAGTTAAAATAACAAGGTGCAGTTCTGACAATTGCATTTTTATATTATTTATAGCTTACCGAACCTGTACATATATTGTCAGAAGGCTAAATAATGGCTAAGTACAGAAAAATTGATGATATGGCCAGAAGTTGCTGAAGCGGCTATCGCGATGAAAAGGAACGTTTCGAATCTAGATACAAAATTAAATAACAAGGTGCAGTTTTGGCTATTTATTGTTTTTATTATTTACACTGTTATTTCAATAAATATACAATGACAAAAGGTTAAGACAGGGAGATAAAAAAAATATAATAATAATAATAATAATAAGTGTTTATTTCAGACGTAAGGAACATCCATAGATTGTTAGTATGTTAGTAACAATATTTCCTTAACTTGTAAGGTAGTATTGTTAGTTAATGTGAATTATGTACAAATTATTTTTTTTCGCCCAATAGCTACCGTCATACAGTGGTGCAGTATGGGGCAGTCGGGCCTGGCAGCAATTACCCTTAGGATGCCGTTGTTGCTGGTACGTAAGCGCTGCAGGAGAGACGCTGCTTTTCTACGCATTATGGCGAAAAAGACATTAGTGTGTGCGTCTGCGAACATTTTAGAGGCACTACAGCGCCACGGCAGCCTCAACAGCATTCTAAAAGCGTTGTTATATTGAACACGCAGGGCGCTGTAGGTCCGGCGTGTATAAGTCACCCACAGACCACCTGTATAGAAAGACTGACAGAACGCTTTAAATAAAGTTACTTTCACGTCTGCAGTGCACCGGGCGAATCTGCGGGCAAGCATATTGCCCCTTACCGACAACGCTCTGCGCTCTCGCTCAATATCCTCATCATCTCCTAGGTCGCTCGTAACTATATGACCGAGATATTTGAACTTATGTACGACTTTCAGAGGTAAACCATCGAGACATACGGGTGGCACATGTCGTGGCTTCCGTTTCGGTGCCTTAAATACTAATATTTCACTCTTTTTTAAGTTGTATTTAAGGCCACGCTCCTCCGCATATGTCTCGCAGATAGAAAGCAGTTTCCTCAGACCTGCTATAGAAGGACTGAGCAGCACCGTGTCGTCAGCATAGCTTATGTTGTTGACACATATGTCATCGATGTGACAGCCAACATGTGTGCTGCTAAGTCGTTCAATCAGTTGGTTTACATATAGGTTGAACAAGAGTGGAGAGCTTAAGCCACCCTGCCTTACACCGCATTCCAGTCTGTATTCTTCCGACAGAGCTCCAACCCACCTCAACTGGTTACGCTGGTTAGCATACCAGTATCTTAGTAGAGCCGTGTAGTCCGCCGGCACACCCGCGTCCCTCAACTTGCCCCACAGGATGTCGTATGAGACCAGGTCAAAAGCTTTCGATAAGTCGAGGAAACACGCGTACACCGGCGTCCGCCTTACGGTGTAGTATTTGAAAGTGTGTTTCAGACAGTAAATGGCTCTCTCCGTCGATAAATTCGGCTTAAACCCAAATTGTGCATCGTTTATTAGTACGTATTTGTTGAGACACTCATTTAACAGACTATCAAACACCTTGGCTGCAGTGGTTGCAAGCGAGATAGGTCGGTAATTACCCATGTCAGATGTGTCCCCAGTTTTATTTTTAACAACGGGTACTACAATAGTCCTCATCAGTGGCTCGGGTACGTAAGGGTGACCCAAACACAGGCTGTAAAACAGTGAAAGGACTCGCGGAAGATGCACCCCAGCATATCTGAAGTGTTCGATGCTGAGACCATCATAACCAGGCGATTTTCCTCTTACCATCTCTTTAATTATTTTTTCTATTTTTTTTTTGCAGGTATCTTTTCATTTCGTTCTGTCATGATAGTCTCAGCCTCGCTCAAATTCAAACCTGAAACGACATTTAAGGGTGACCTTACAGTAAAATTGCATCTGAATGCATCCGCAATATCCTTGTGATCATAAGCACCCCCAACACTCACTGGAAGACTTGGCTTAACATGCATTTTGTTTGTGTTCTTCCAGAAGCTTTTAAAGTCTGTAGAAGAGTGATTTGTCGCAATAATATCCATCTTTAGCTGTTCTTGTCTGTTTTGACACCATTTTAATTTGGCTTTAAAATGCTTTCTAGATCCTGACATCTCTTCAAATACGCGACCCCTGGATGGCTGCCCAGCTCGGCCCATTTAAGCCGCGCCTCCCGATGTGGGCCCGCGACGTGCTTATTCCACCCCGTCACGTAACCTCCCTTTTTTCTACATGTATCCCTATATGTACGAATTGCTGCCAGTGATAGTATATTTATAATATTACCGTACATATTATAAAGTACAGCGTGATGTTCTTGTGTTACTTGTTTTGGAAAAAGTTGGGGAGAAACGACCTCGCAGTAGGATCCTCCTTCACCACGACAACGCCTCGACGCACACCGCCAAGCAAACAATAGATTACTTGGCGACGTCAGACGTGGTGGTTACTGGGTCACTCGCCCTATAGCACCAACCGCGCACCTTGCGATTATTATTAATTTCCGAAAATAAAAGAAAACCTTCGAGGAAAACGTTTTATGTACGCCGAGGAAGCAGTGGCTGCGTTTCAAAATGTCGTCAAAGAGACCCCTAAGGACGAGTGGGCAAAGTGTTTTCTCCAGTGGTTCCATCGAATACAGCGATGTATTGAAGTAAATGGACACTATTTCGAAAATATATAATAAAATTAATAACTTGCTTGTTTGTTCACTGTTTGATTTTCTAAGAACTATCAGTGTCACTCTCGTACCTACTCGTTTCTATTAATTCCTGACAAGTCTCGTATTTCGTCAATGCAACAATCGCGGTCTTTGAAGGTAGTTACAATGGCCTTGCAGTCGCATTAAGAGGGGCTTCTTGCGAGGCCCTAAACAAGAACAAGCTAAAAGAACACTAAAAGAGTTTCTAATTAAATAACTAGATGGTCGGTATGGTCTGTGTATTTGTATTATTATAAGTTAGTATAATATATTAATAGTATCTTAAATGATAACATAATTACTGTAAATTTCCTGATTTATCCCAAATTTACATATTAATAATATACTTAGTGATTAGCTGATTAGTTAATAAAGATATAAATCTACCATTATTATCAATAATAGTTTTAATATAGATTATACTTTATAATTAATAGACCACAGCAACTAAACCGTGTGTAGTTTCTGCTGTAGAGCTAAAAAAATTCATTTTGTTTTGTTTTATATATTATGAATAAATGAGTATAAAAAAAAAAAACACACTTAAATTTGTGACTTTGTTTTTCGAGCGTAAAAGTGATCAAATTAATTAGTCATCTGTGGTAAAGTTTGGGGGCACCGCATTTTAGGGGGGCTTGTGAGGCACCTTTAAGTGCGAGGCCGTGGGCGAGGGCCCACTTCGCTCATGCCTAGCTACGCCTCTCTTACAATAATGTATGTAACACAATTAATAACACAAAACAAATAAGAAATAGCTTGGTAGTGATACTCGTAATCTCATTCCCAGGGGTTATTATCATCCATAAATTCCTTAATATTATAATAACCCTTTTTATATAGGTAACTTAGTTTATTAAAGTTTTTGAAATTTGAGCAGGTTTTGTATATTTTCTGGGATTATGTTAAATTGTGTGTATATTGTGTGTAAGTGAGTGAGTGTGTTATATTAAGTTATTGCTCTCATTGAATAATATTAACAATATTGTGAACACAATAAAATTTGTTCTCAATTAGCGAGTAACTTTTTATGAGTGTAAGTGTTGAGTTTTATACAAAATTGGCTTAAAAAAGTATTTCTTAACGTTAAATTGTTGATTTTTACTTCAAAATAAATAAAAATATTGCTACATGACTATTACAATAACTGTTTTTCATGCATTACCTATCTGTATACCTATGTATAATAATATACCAGATTTCAGTATACAATAAAAAAAATTAACATGTCAAAATAAGTTTCGGTTTCGGTTTCGGGTTCGGCCGAACCTTTTTGTCAACACAGGAGGCAGGTATACGGATTTCGGCGATAATTTTGAAACTAGATTCGAAACGTTCCTTTTCATCGCGATAGCCGCTTCAGCAACTTCTGGCCATATCATCAATTTTTCTGTACTTAGCCATTATTTAGCCTTCTGACAATTTATGTACAGGTTCGATAAGCAACAAATAATATAAAAATGCATTTGTCAGAACTGCACCTTGTGTTTTAAATTTAAACAATTTCTTTACAACTTTGTCGACTTCTGACAGTCTTTAAGCCCCGACCTAGACTTCTGACAATAATTTTCCTAGATTCCTACAGTTAAAAACTATAACTCTACCAAATTTCAGAACTGCACCTAACCATTTTTTTCTTATTGAAAATTTACGACTTTGACCGCCACCGCCACCCACGCCTTCCGCCCCGGGAGAGTTCTGACGGACCTCGCTCTGTACTTATAAGCTACCCAGAGAGGTTATATATATAATTAGTTAATACACCTTATCAGTTCACGTTTTCGTAGCCAGCTCTCCGACTACTGAATTAATTCTTTGAAATTCCGGCCATATAGCTCGAAGAAATGACAATGAATGAGGAAGTTTTACAAAGTGTACTTTATAGGCCCTCCATTAGATGGAATGATGACCTGGTAAGAAATGCAGGAAGGCGATGGATTCCTGTGCTTTGTGGCATTCCGTGGGTGAGACCTATGTTCAGCAGTGGACTTGTGACGGCTGTAATGATGAAGATTTAATGATGCAATGCGCTCATCTTTTCATTTTAATTTTTATAGGATAGGGTGACAAACGAGCACACAGTCCACACGATGGTAAATGGTCGCTGTGACCCATAGACATCTACATCTGTCCTCAATAAAGAATCAAAATGCAGATGCATTGTCACCCATGAGGACTACGATGGAATGCCTCTTTTCCAGTAAAAAGGGTATCCGGTTCTCTACAATCACCATACGAAACACAGCAGTGTTAAGTTGCTATTTTACGCTGGTATTCTGTGAGAGCGTGGTCCTTCCCAGGTCGAGCCGACCCATTCGTGCTATAACTATACTACTAATATAGCTGCAGCATGGCTCTACCACAACTAAAATGTAATGACCCACAGCCTGTGATTATTCTGACTCTATACCCATCAGAATGGAACACAGCAGTGCACGCACTGCTATTTGACGGCAGAAATAGGTAAGAGGAGGAGGGAGGAGTCCATCTGGGCAGGCACAAATAGATCCAACTCCTAGGCAAACATGGAGTCACACCACCTAGTACTGACACTAAGAAGATGGCAGAGATAATTGGTTGCTTACCAGTATGTATCTTAGTGACATACATACTAGCTGACAGGGTAAAAATATTTTTTTTAATGTATTAATAAGAGTGCTTTTGACATGCACTTTGAATTTAGACAAAGGCAAATCAGTAAATCAGTACATTACACATGAAGCCCTCTTTATTTTGTGTCTACGGGCTACAGTAACCACTTGCCATAAGGTAAATTGTACCTTATTTTAATAATATCAAGAAAAGGGGTATATCTTACCTGTTTCATGATTCTCATTTTCTTCCAATTTGGAATTCTCATATTCGAAAATCTCTTCCTCAACTTTAACGACATCAAGGCAAAAAATTTCGTCCTTGCAATCATTGTCTATATCACACTCTACAGGCCAGATATCTATATGATAAATTGGTGTGAATTTAATCTCATCTCTAACCTTATGCGGTTTTGGTATTGACTGAAAGGAAATAATTTTTTCAAATAAGAGAAAAAGCCAATATAGTGGTGGAGTAGGAGAACCCATACTACCGCCTGCCATCCCGCAGATGTCGTAAAAAGGGGCAGAGGGAAACTGAAACAGGAGATCGGGGGGCAGCATCTTCCTGACAACAACTTCAAAGAATAATAAACACCGGACAAAAGTGAGGATTCAGCGTAAACTTAAATAAGAATGTACATAGTTCATCTATCCCGAGAATCGAGTCTCAACAACTTTTGGATTCAGATTCACGAAAGCTGTAAATTGACAAAGATTTATCTTTGTTTATTGATATTTGTTTATATACAATAGGGTAATATATAACAGTATAAACAGTTTGATAATTGTTTTTGTAAAAATAAGTACTATTGCTCTAATAAAAGTAAGTTGGATTGAAGGACAAACTTAACTTTGCACTAGAAACATTCGCCCATATGGCAATGGGAAGCAGCATAGAAAAGTGGATTGTGCAGTGACAGTGTAAGAATATCCACTATCACAGGGTCGGCAACCTTTTATTTATACCTAGTCAGGTCATAAGTATTGTCTCACAGTAAAAACTTTTCTTTTAGAATGCTGGCCCCAAAAAAGTTTATTGAATTCGAATTTCGAATTGTTCATGAAAATAAAACTGTATACTTTTTAGAATTTTACTCATTTTTAAATATGGAGTGGACGCTTAAAGAAGACCGTGTTGCAGTTATTGCGTTGCATCGTTGCGTTTACGCGCCAATTCAAATACATTGACATACTGAAAATATTGTTTATAACCAAAAGATTCGTTTATCGTACCATCAAACCATACAATGAAGACTCTAGTGTAGATGACAGGTCAAGAAGTGGTCGCCCTTGGTCTGTTAGGACCCCAGCAGTGATAAAAGCTGTGAAGGCGCGAATTCAAAGAAATCCTAAACGTAAGCAGAAACTTTTGGCCCTTCAGATGGGGTTAAGCAGAACCATCGTGAAAAGGGTGTTAAATGAAGACTTAGGACTTCGGGCATATCGAAGAAAAACAGGACATCGTTTGAATGCTCGTCTAATGGACCGGAGACTGAAGAGATGCCGCGCTTTGTTGAAGTGGTACGCGGGAAAAAAATATCGGGAAATTCTTTTTTCGGATGAAAAAATTTTTACCGTAGAAGAGAGCTACAACAAACAAAATGATAAGGTGTACGCACACAGTAGTGAAGAAGCGAGCAACCGTATTCCGCGTGTCCAACGAGGTCATTTTCCATCCTCGCTCATGGTATGGTTGGGAGTTTCTTATTGGGGCTTAGCAGAGGTACATTTTTGTGAGAAAGGTGTAAAAACGAATGCAGTTGTGTATCAAAATACAGTCCTGACGAACCTTGTGGAACCTGTTTCTCATACCATGTTCAATAACAGGCACTGGGTATTCCAACGAGATTCGGCGCCAGCTCATAGAGCGACGAGCACACAAGACTGGCTGGCGGCGCGTGAAATCGACTTCATCCGGCACGAAGACTGGCCCTCCTCCAGTCCAGATTTGAATCCGTTAGATTACAAGATATGGCAAGCCTTGGAGGAAAAGGCGTGCTCAAAGCCTCATCCCAATTTGGAGTCACTCAAGACATCCTTGATTAAGGCAGCCGCCGATATTGACATGGACCTCGTTCGTGCTGCGATAGACGACTGGCCGCGCAGATTGAAGGCCTGTATTCAAAATCACGGAGGTCATTTTGAATAAACTTTAGTGTCATAAGAATCTATGTTTTGTTAAGTTCATTTTGGTATATAAATGGTTACATAATGAATAAACTTGTTTCAATTATTTTATATTAAACATATGACAGAATTTATGACCTGACTAGGTATATATATATATATGACGGCACCTGCACCGTTGTAGGTGCGGTGGCGTCGGTCTAGCTAGACAGAATTCTTGTAAACGACACGTGTACCGCACACCTGCGGCATTGCACCTGCGTTGCCACCCGTCCTGCTTGTATAAAACGGACGGAGCGGCCGCCGTTAAGACAGTCTTGACTCTGACGTGGAACGGTACGCTTGTCGTATTCCGTTACTAGTTTATCCTTAACTCGTTGGATAGTTAATTCGAGTAAACGAATTAATTATTATTCCTAACTACAAAATTAGTCTCTGTACTATACACAATTACCCTTTCTACATCAGAAGTGGGATAAAGTCCCTGTTACTGCCCACCTGCTATAACCTTTGAATAGTGTAAGGGTTATTACGTTGGTGAAATACTATAATGCGCCTCGCGTTTTGTTTTTGTGTTCAATTTCTTAAATCAAGTTTGTTGTCGTATTTACGACATTGACGAATCATTAAATTGTAGAGTAAAAGTTTAAAGTGAAATGTTTTAAGTCAAAAGTTAAATCTTTTTATTCAATTTATAATAGAAAGTACCCTCAAGTAATTTCATTATTTCTTAACGTACCCAAATATGATAACAAATGTCGAAAGAAATGTTGGAGATATTCTGAATGAGTTATAGTTTGCATTCAGTGGAAGTTTAACTTGCTCAAGTAATGTTATAATTTGATACACGAGATGTGATTTACATGGCCTAGTTTTAAAGTTCAAAATGTTTAAACTATGTACCGATAAAAAGAACATGATTACTTTAACGTGCTATGACTTAAAAACACTAAGTAGTATTTTTGTGATCTAATGTGATGATAAGTGTTACAGTTTACTCAGAGCATTACGTAGTCGACAAACTTGGAATGGTTTAGTGGAAAGCGTGGAGCTGTAGCGCTCGCTTTTGAGTATGCTGTCGGCTTATGACGCCGCAGACTTATTATTTGTCGCTGCTACTGATCACCATTAGATACATGAGGAAAGTAAATTTATCCTAAACATTGGCTCAGAAACTATTTTGTAAGAATGAGTGTTTACATTTTTAATTGGTTGCGAAAAGTGCCGCAAAACCGAAGTATAACTGATGAAAGTGAAGTAGAGCCAATTAGTTCTGACATTGAAGAGAGTATTTAAGTTTACATGAGGATCGGACCATACCAGAGGTTGTCGTGTAGCCGCAGCTCAGTATTTGGTGCCCTAGAAAGGCGAATCGTGTACCAAGAGTAGTGCTGCATTTCTTGAAATCAAGTTCCGACTGAGTATTTTTAATGTTTTCTTTTATGTGTTACAGTAGCACGTGTGATGTGATTACAAGTGCTTGAGTGTGTGCCTTGCTGGTCGTAACGGACTGCCAGGTCCAGCTGTAACATGGCCTGGTTTCGGCAGATGCGTATGCGCGTATACGCAGGCGCCATCCCGGAGCGCGCGTATGCTGTACATGGCGATGCCTCGGAAGTCGTGTACTCTGTATGCGTGGGAGTCACACTGTGTGCGCGGAAGTCGTATGCTGTGTGCACGGTAATGTTTTCTGAACATGTATTAGGCTTTGTCCTGGCAGGCGCTGTCCTGGTTCACGTTTTTAATGTGGATCTCGCAAGTTTAAGTAAGAGTATGTGTCAGATACTTCGTATGAAGACCTATGTTTACTTGTGAAAGCGAAGTGCTTTATTATAGTCCAAGGTATGAGAACGTATTTCTGTTTTAGGGCCTCGTATGTGTGATAGATGAGAGAACAGGCAACTGTGTATGTTGTCCTTATAGTTAACAATTTGTTTTTCACGCAGATCATGATGACTACAACCCCGACGATGCTTTTAAACCCTCAGGTGCTCCTGCTGCTCTCGTTTTGTTGTAATTTGATAGTTCACGCGAAACATGATTATCATTTGCTATATTTTGAAATTCAAAACTTTTAAGGGTTGTTACAATAAAGGATTAACTTTAACACGCTATGAATTAAAAATAATAAGTGATATTTTTGTGTTCTAATGTGTTTATCACTGTTGCAGTTTGCTCCGAATATTGTGTCGTTGACAATATTGGGGTTTGATTTCGAGGGATTCGTAGAAGTCTCTACAACAATGATCAATGAGGAAGACGTTGTGATGGCTAATCGAACATGGTCAGGTACGGCCGAGCGCTGGTTAGATTGAGCCTACACCGCTACAGTCGGTTACTTATCGGCTGATCTTACGGCAGGGCAATTCAAACGGCCGCCGAACAAATGGTGCTTTGGCGCTGTAAATGGACGGCTTTCGTAGATTTTGCGCAGTTTCCTCCTTCGCTTCGAAATATGTTGTGGTATCTGTCTCTACACATAGTTTCCATTTTTTTGCAATGTTTTCAAATGTCGTGCAGTTGCCGTTTCTTAAGAGAATATGTGATGAATTTCGGAAGCTCGGAATTCCATGGTTCGCAATACATTTATCTCGATTTCTTTTAATTTTGCAAAGGAGTGCGACGATTCGCTAGCGCTAGTACGGCGCGACGGCTTGCTGCCGCGAATGTAGCACGATCGCAGCAGAACGAAAAGTTGTAGTGCGTTTGCCTGGAGGTAGCCATATCCGCGCGTTCCAGACTTAAATGAAGTCTGGGATGGTCGACCGTTGTAATATTTAACAAGAGTTTATATCTGTTAGCAAGTGGTGATAACTGATAGACCGTATGCTGTTCACTGTCAACCGCACGAGGACGTGCGACAGTCAGAGGTAGCCGTGTCTGTGCATCTAGAAAATACTACAGACGTTGCAACACTCTAGCGAAGTAATTATTCCAGTGCAGGAAAGGAACATGAAGTTGCAGGGAGGCTGGTCTGTGCTGCACTGGGAAATGTGTCGAGTTGCTGTTGGTTTACATACTTAGGTGTTATCGTGTGTCACTACGTCCCTCACGATACACTTTTGTGTGATTGTGACGGGGACATGTTTGCGGTATGGTTGGTCTGTAACTGTTCTATACTGAATTGAAAAAAAAAGAGAGTAAGAAAAAAAAATGTGGTTCTTACTATCATTGCAGGGCGTTTGCCGGTCCAATGATATAGCTAAAGGGAATACTGATTCCGGACTAGCATAAATAGTACTTGAAAAAAAAAAAGAGAAAATAGAAAAAGCTACAGACTAATCATTCCGATCTAACATAAAGATGATTAAAGTTTTGTAGGGCTTACTGCCGGAACAAAACTGACTGTCACCCAAATCTGAAGGGTCAATATAGACCGGACCAGACGCTGTTATGTCAGGATAGTCGAACGATGTTTTTTTGTCTACAGATAACTAAAATTGTGATGGAGCGCGTGCGAGGACGCACGCATGTCAGTATGGCCGTGACGGCACCTGCACCGTTGTAGGTGCGGTGGCGTCGGTCTAGCTAGACAGAATTCTTGTAAACGACACGTGTACCGCACACCTGCGGCATTGCACCTGCGTTGCCACCAGTCCTGCTTGTATAAAACGGACGGAGCGGCCGCCGTTAAGACAGTCTTGACTCTGACGTGGAACGGTACGCTTGTCGTATTCCGTTACTAGTTTATCCTTAACTCGTTGGATAGTTAATTCGAGTAAACGAATTCCTAGCTACAAAATTAGTCTCTGTACTATACACAATTACCCTTATATATATATATATATATATATATATATATGGTATTATTAGATAATCACTTATTATTTAAGTAAAAAATTAAAACAAACATTTATTTACATTGTAAGTCTTACAACACTAACTTATACTTTAAGTACAAACAATTGAGCAAACAAATTCAATGGGAGTTTTGGCTTTGCATGGTTTTAGAAAGTTTGGATAAATTTGGCTCATAACTTGTTGTTTTAAGTTTCAAACACGAATCTGAATTTTCATTTGTTAGTTGGCTTCTTACTTTACTTTAAATTATATTCATGCAAGAGAACGCTTGCTCGCACGAATATGTCGATCCGAAGATAGTCAGCACTCCAAATGCCAACATCTTCACCTCACTATAGCAATCTGGAAGACTATTCCATGCGTCAAATATAACTCAACTCGCAGCCTTTCTTTTAAAGCTGTTCATTTTTGTTGCGTTACGTACATACATTTCTGGACCTCCAACTTTTTCAACTTCCTTATCAACTCTGTAAATTTTTAACTCCACAAAGCTTTACTTTTTAAATCGATCAATTGCATTTCTAGAGATCCAGTATCAACCCCAAATGGCTCAGTATGGATCGATTTATAATTTTTTTTATAAAATAAAATAAATAATATATGCGTATGAAACTACAGAGCCACAGTTTCACATCCAAAGAGCCGCATGTGGCTCGCGAGCCGCAGGTTGCCGACCCCTGCACTATCCTATATCCCTATCCACGGGATGGGTGTCGTAAGAGGCAACAGAAGGAAACAGAAACAGAGGTAGGGCGGCCGCATCTTCCTGATGACTACTTAGACTAATATAAACTACGGTTGCCAACTTGCCAAGTGTGGCAAATTAGGCATAATCCCTCCTATGAAGCAATCTATGAGTGAGACCTATGTTCAGCAGTGGACTTTTATAGGTCTTAATGGATGGAATGGATAATACCATGGATCCTCCTGAAAGCAACTGCTCCAGAACCACATTTGACTCAATAGCCTGTTGTTGTAATCTTCTGCAACGAATGAGTCTTGCATGACAGGTGAAACAGACAATTATTGGCCCCTCAATCTCATCCAACTGCAAATATAAAAATCTTCATAAACATGAAATAGTTTGCAAATACAGTAGAACGCCGATTATCCGAACGCCGACTAACCGAATCGCCAATTATCCGAATCGGTCCTAAGCTTAATATAAAAAATTATAACCAAGTACAGTAAGTAACATTACTAAGATTACTTATACAATACTTGGTTAACTGATATTAAAAATAACAGTGAAAAAATTTTAAGTTTTGTGACCGCATTGGAAAGTGGTGATGGATGTTCGTCGCGAAAAGTAATGAAAAAGGCAAAAGATGAACAGCTTGAGAATGCTGTTTTTACGTGGTTTCTGCAGCAACGATCTATTGGACAACAGATTTCAGGATCGATTTTATGTGAAAAGTCACGAATGTTCAGTGAAAAAATGGATGTAGCTGGTTTTACTCTTTATAAAACTTTATAAAGTGTAAAACCATTTATAAACTTAATAAAGTTTATTCTATGTGTGACAGTTCGTTTTTCTATATTACATACCAGTCTATGTCCGATTATCCGAATCGACCCCAGTCCCAATTAATTCGGATAATCGGCGTTCTACTGTTTATAAGTTTATAATAAAGATTATTGGCTACCACATTTTAATTTGTCAACATCATGTTTTATAATATTGAAGTGACAAATAAACTTACCATCTAGTAAGTGACTAATGGGCATCATGGGCACCTGCAACAAACTTCAAGCAATGGCTACAGATGCAATGTTACCTCTGAGGAATAAGATGTAATGCATCACAGCCTGGCTCTCGATGTCCTTCAGACTGGGACACATACTGCTGCTTGGTGCCAGAAAATGGTAAGAGGATGATATCTAGACAGAAAGAAACTCCTACAGTTCCAAGCCACCTACATCCATCACCTACATTACCTACATTAACTTCAAACTGCTATCATCACTAAGAACATTACAAAAACTTCTCTTATCACTCTCAGTAAACTGATAATGCTTGTGGTAGGAGGATATTGAAACAAAACACAGGGTGGTGGGTAGTACTACACATTCTGTGAAAGTGTAGTACCACCCCGGTCAAGCTGGCCAATCCATGATACAACCATAATATAG